AACAGGCAGGCCTAGCATAGGCGACATGAAGAGGGTCTCAATACATCAGAGTTCCAGTCCTTCCCCCACTCCCACGTGACAGCAGCTATCTATGGCACTCCGTGGAGCTGTACGCACCAAGGAAAGATGCCACAAATGTCCCATATTGGTCCTGGCCAGTTGCACATCAGCTTCAACTTGCTCCTTAACCCCAGGGGGCCCATACTGGGGACTCTTTTGAGCCTGAAGCCAAAAGCCTCTCTCCACAGGCTAGGCAAGGGTGAAGTTTGCTAGGAATAGCTTATCTACAGCCATAAAATGGTTTTCAGGCAAATCCTGCCACCTTGTGGCGCTCATGCATAAGAACCTGTGTGCCAGTCAGGAAACCGCCTTATCCTTCTGCCCCCAATATGGCTTCTTAGCCTGGAGATGTTCTTTGTCCTCTTCTCAGCTCCATATACCTGAAATGGAGATGTCTCCCTGAATCCCAAAGTCCTAGAGTATCCTCCACTTTGTCTACCAGTCCTAAGAAAGTCCTCTGTATTAGGGCCATTTTGTAATCAGCTCTAATCCAAAAGTGGCGTTTAAGCCTTCCCAGCAGTGCTGCAGAAGAAAGGCCTGGTGATCTGCCTTCCATAAAGATTACAGCCTAGAAAACTCCATGGAAGAGTCTATTCTTTAATACATGGAGTTGTCATGACTTGGAATTGACTCAATGGCAAAGGTTTGACTTTGGTTTTTTGGATCAAAGAAGAACCTAGGAGTGCCTCTTATCCATCTCAGCCCTGTCTTGAGCCACTCAGCAACTACTTAGGGTCAGGCAATCAAATATTCATCATCAATGGTGTGCCTGTGTTGCCAGACTTCTTTGAACAAAACCTGCTATTGACTCCTTGGGCCCACTTGAGGATAGATCGATAGAATAAAGAGTCTGGGTGGTGCAGTGTTTAAACTCCACTGCTAACAGGTTCGTGATTCGAACCCACTAGCCACACTGAGGGAAAAAGATGTAGCAGTCTGCTTCCATAAATATTACAGCCTTGGAAACCCTATGGGGCAGTTCTACTCTACCCAGGAGTCAGAATTAACTTGATGGCTGTGGGTTAGGACAGGGTAGCTCACATGTGTATGCGTGCACATGCACATGCATTCATCTATTCCTTGCTTTGGATTAGTAATGCCCTCCCTGCCACCGCCAGCTCAACTCACAGGGGCCTCCCTGCCTCCATGGTATCTATGGCTGTCTGGACATATACCAAGCCTTTCCTACACAGGCCTCTCCAAGCAGTGAGATGAGCAGTTTCCTCTGTCACTTCCTGGGATCTTAAGCACTAGAATTCCAAGGCAGGTGAGAGGTGACTGACTGATAGTCTCAAGTGACTGGCTATAATCTAGGCTCCATGGGCTTATAAGAAATAAAGCAGAGCAGCGTGGGGGCTGAGGCTGCTCTGAGATCTCAGGCTAACAGGCTTTATCTTGCTGTGTGTGCTTGCAGTTTAGCAATCTGTGAGCTCTTAATAATTGCTTTGCTGACCTTTCAGCTGTGCTCCCTTTTCCCCCTGCTGGGCTAATAGAACAGGTCAGCAAGCCCATTCTGCTTGCAGTGCCCCATAATCCTGTGCCCAACAGTGGCTTCACATTTCCTGGCCCAGGGTACAATGGGGCAAACACAACCCAATCATTGGGATGTGGTTATGAGACTGACCTGCCACCCACCCATTTTGAGGTTGGCCGATAGAATCTATTAATGTCCAAATTACACCGGCCCTTTTCCAAATAGGTTAGAAATGCTGGGTTGTCACAATGTATAATCTGGTAGAGGTGAGAGTGAGAGTTGTAAAAAACTAAAGATGATATGGCTGAACTGAGGAACAGGATTTAAGAGCATAAATACACTAGAAGGAGAGATATATTGATTGAATGTTTATAACAAGCCATGCACAGTGCTAAGTACTTTCACATAAATTATCACATTACCTGAGAAATAGTATCATCTTCATTTTACAGAGAAGGGTAAAGTTAAAAAGGTTAAGAATTAGCTTTGTACACAGTCCAATTTGGGACCCTGCCACTTACAGCAAGTAACTCTAAGCAACTTAGCTAACTTCTTTAAACTTGTTTTCTTGTCTATAAAATAAATATAATGCCAGGCCCTGCTGGTTTAAATTAAAATGTAGGTTGTAGCTAAGAACCTCACCACAGTTCCTGGCACTCAGGATTCACTCCATTCTTGTTAATGGTTAATAGTTAATAGCTTCCCTAAGGTTTATAGCATTCAAATTCAGGTTTTCTGACTCCCAAGTTTAGTGCTCATGAGAAAAGAAGCTGACTTGATTTAACAAATATAGTTGAAGATGGCCATGAGGCAGGCTCTGCACTAAGATGTACAAATTCAGTTAGGAGCCAGACTAACAAATACCTACCCAGCTATCCTAGAAAATGCAAAATGTAGAAGCACACATAAGGTACAGAAATGGCCACACAAGAGCAAGTTGCCAGGAAGAAAAGTTGGTAAGAGCTGTGGCATTTTTCTGAAATACCAACAAAGATGAAACCTAGAGTGACTCGAAATCACTCTGGAAGTCAATGACCAAGTGGGGGTGCTAAATCTGTGGAAGATCCTTCTTATAAGCTGGGTAAGCTGGGTGGTCTGGTTTATATGTCACACACAAACATTCACCCCTCAAGTACACACTCACACACATAGGTATTTCTTAGGGTGCACAAATACACCACAAACCGCAACTCCTAATCTCCATACCATATATGTTACCCTCTCCTCCTCTCATCTCTGAAGCCCTCTATGCCCTGAAACACAGAGGATATCACTTCTCTTTTGTTTTTAGCTATCTTCCCCCAAAAGAAACAATTTTTTGGTCATCTTTGGCAGCCAGTGGAAGATTTGGGCCAGCACTCACCAAATACAGCCATTTCTCCAATAATGCTGTAAAAATTTGTGTTCTGCAAAACTGCACTCCAAAAGTAACAGGGCGTCTGGGAACAAGAGTAGCAGCAGACCACTCAAAACCTATGGAGTGCTGTAACCTGAGCATTACCAAAACAGAAATATGCCTAACGATGACACAAATGTAGGCGTCTCACTGGCACATGCACTGGTCCACGGCTGCCTTAAATCCTGGGACTCATGCTTCTCCCTGAGATGCAGGTCCTGACAGATACAAGTTCCATCAGAATTGAAAATATGATCCAGGGTGGAACTCTCTTCCATTTTTTTCAAACCCAGTGAGGGAGTGTCTTCATAGCTTTCTCATTTCCATTCAGAGATTCACTAGACAGCCTAACAGAGGAGAAGGGACAGCAATGACTCCTGAAGCTACTGAACTAGCTATTACCTGCAATAAAACAAGGAAGGCACGTCTATAAAATTTTCAGTTTTTCTTAAGGTATTCAATCTTGTCCCTGATCACTAGAAAAACTTAACATGCTGGGGAAAATCTCACAAAAGCCAATATAATTCCAGGTTATCTGACACCATTTCTCTATTTACCAATTACATACATGCTATTTCCCATTAATGACAACACTGTAGTAAAACAGACCAGTTTATGGTCATGAAAATGGTCGCATCTCACCCTGGTGATCCCATCCCTCATTGCTTACTGCTGCCCAGGACCCTAAGAATATACAGTATAATTCACCTACACAACTCCAAAACCCAGCAAGAGAAAACACAGTCTTGGTCTTATGGCTGCCCTTACCCTCCCTACAGCCCAGGCTACATCCTACAGCAACCACTACTGTCCATGCAACTGGCAAGCCTCACCTAGAGGATATCTCCCCTCAGTAACAAGGGCAGAGAGAGTACCTACAGGAGGCAAAGGGGAAGAACATCAAGGCTAGGCACACCTCCATTTTGGTGACAGAACACAATTTCTCTGACCCTATGTAAGAACACAAGGCGCTATCTGACTCAGAGACAGCAAGCTTATGTCACATAGGCCAATCTGTTTAGGCCAAAATGTTAAGTCAGAGGACACCAAGGGCAGCTTGGGGGGACCTAGGACTACAGCATGCTATGGAAAACCCTGCTCTGGGCATAGAGCGGCATGCCTGAGACCCTTGATCTCTTCTTTTCATTCAGCAAATGTGTAGTGAACTCCATCCTAGGCACTAGGAACCAATGGTAACCCAACAGCACATTATAAGACCAGGAGCCCCAACTGAAGCACAAAACCAGGGTTCTTTTCTAGCACCACTGGGGACTTACAGCTAAGTTATGACCATCCATGATTTCTCCATTTGTAAAACAAGAAGGACAAGACACCTTGCTTATTACACATGATTGTTTCAAAAGAGGGGAATCCTGGTGGCCATGGTAAAGCACTTGGTTGCCAACTGAAAGGCTGGCTGTTCAAACCCACCAGCCACTCTGCAGCAGAAAAATGTGGCAGTCTGTTCCAAAGATTACAGCTCTAGAAATTCTATGGAGCAGTTCTACTTTGTTCTATAGAGTCACCAGGAGTCAGAATCAACTCAACGGCAAGAAGTTTCAAAACAGGTACAGATGATTAAATTCTTAAATATCAAATGCATAAAAGAGAAAAAAAGGTAATTATTTCTAAGCTACATTAAACACTTTTGGATCAGTGGAAAGCAAGAGAAAACAAAATGGAAAATGGCTAAGAAACTACAGAGAACTAGTTTTTTCTCATGAGTCTAGATGCTTTCACAGAACTCAAAGCTTTTAGAATGTCCATTCATCTCCTTCTGTTCTTCCCTGGGCCCAGCAAGCCAGTTGATTCATGGGAAATTAATGCAATATTCAATTTTCAGCTTGGATAAAAACAAAAAGGCATCCCAATAAATGGCTCTCTCTTCACTGGGAGAAGCCCAGCCATCCCCAAAGGGCATATAAACTTAGACTCACACAATAATAAACTCGTTTATTTCTCAAAACTTAATATGCTAACATTCCCTGCAAAGATAATGCAACCACACAATGTCCTTGAGGCCTAATCCTAGAAGTGTCTCAGCATAGTCCACAGGCAACTCAATGTACATCAAAGGTCCAAGAAAAATCTCCTAACCTGGGCCAGGTATCTTGGTTTCAAATAGTCACCCAGCTCCTCCTTACTGACCCACACATGCTGGTCCTTCTTCCTGGGCTGGGAAAAGTCTCCAGTTTGTAGTAGTGCTTTGAAGAAGAATACTTTGGCCCCAAGGTTACTCTCTGTCCGCATTGCCTGGGGGAACTTGAACTTGTAGTGGCCACAGGGTGCATTTCCTAGGAACTTGGCTTCAATGTTGTTTTCTGAAGGATAAAAACAAACAGATGTTCACTCTGGCTCCCAAAATCATAAAGGGTCTCTGCAAGCGTCACTTCGGATCCCCTAAGGTAAAGGCAATCTTGTTAGGACTAGGGTCATTACAGAAAGAACCTCCTCCCCTCTCAATCCAAGCACTTCCTGGCCCATGGAGTCCAGACTCACCAGGCTGGTCCCATGTTCTAAGCTACCACTTCTAGACTGGCAGTCAGGAACACAGTTTAAGTAACACAGATCTGGGAGTCAGAGCACCTAGGTTCTAGAGTCAGCCCGGTTGCCATCTCTTGATGAAAAACCAGGACAACCTTTTTAAAGGGACGTCACATGAAAAGTATAAAAGGAACCCCAGATTTGATGCTATGAAATTTCTGTAGGGTGAGAACATCACAAAAACAAAAGACCAAGACAGATTGGGAGATAATGTCTGCAGTCTATAACACAGAGTTAATAATTGCAATCCAGCATTTCGAAGAAATGAGACAACGATAGAATAATTAAATGACATTGAACTGTATGAGAAAAATAAGCTGTATCCCCATCTCATACTCACACCAAAATTGACACCATATGGATCAAAGATTTAATAACAGAAATCTAAATTTCATAAAAGATTTGTTTATTCTGAACGGTAATTTCATAGGTGTTTAATATTTTCTAAATTTTTCTATATTTTTAAATTTTTAATTAGAAAAAATATTTTTCTGAAGAAAATGTGGGATAGGCCTATCTAATTAAGACACAAAATTCAAAACACCATAATAAAAGATTTATATTTGTTTACATAAAAATTAAGTCTTTCTTTAAAGAAAAATGAAGCATATAAAAAGTAAAAAAACAAAATGACAAATGAGAGAATACTGTGGACACATTCAACATAGAAATAATATATTAAGGTACTTAAGATGCTTAGCTATTAAACACTTAGAAATTAATGAGAGGAAAAAAAAAAATCCAAAGCAAAAATGAACCAAGCATATAAACAGGAAATTCACATGAAAGTAAGTATAAACACCTTATAAACACATTAAAAAATGCTCAATCTTATTAATAACTAAGACAAACTAATACATACCATTTTTCATCTATCAGATTAATAAAGTTCAACTAGCTTAAAGTAAAAATTCAAAATTTTTGAGCTGTACACTGCTGGTGAGAGAGAAGGGTAAAACTGGTCCCCTCACACCCAGTGGGGGCTGCAAATTGGTATAAATGCTACTATTTGGCAGAAGCAATCCATTTTAATTGTGCATACCCTTTATTCTTGCAACTCCTTTTCTACAACTTTATCCTCTCAAATATGCCTATTTGTTCATGTGAACAAAGATGAGGGTACAAGAATGTTCACTGCAGCAAGACAAATTACAGTATGTTATTATGTTATGGACTAGTATGCTGGTGTTAAAAAATAGGTCTTTATGTAATGTACAGAAAGTTTTTAAAGCTTTATTTAAGAGAAAAAAGCAAGGTACATGTTGTTGTATTAGAAACCACTGAGTCAATTCCAACTAATAGAGATGTCATGTAACAGAGATGTGCCCTGTAGGGTTTTCTAGACTGTAATCTTTATGAGAACAAATCACCAGGTCTTTCTCCTATGGAGCTGCTCAGTGGGTATGAACCACCAACCTTTTGAAAAGCAGCTGAGTGCTTAAGTATTGTGCCACCAAGGCTCCATGCAAGGTACATAATATGTGTATATATGCTCCCATTTATATGGACAAAAATAGATATAATTGTATATGCAGAAAAATTTCTGAAAGGATACACCCAAAAACTGTTAATGGTGGCCGCCTGAGGAGGGAGAATTACTTCTTGTTCTATACTACATTTGTTAGATTCATTTGATATTTTTTCACCATATACACGAAGTTTTCCCCCCCCAATATTAAAAAATACTAGAGTATCAGCTCAAATATAATACAATACAAAATATTAGCAATGGATATCTGTGGGTGGTGAAATTAAATTGCTTGTTTCTTTATATTTTTCTGAATTTTCCAAACTTAACTCAATATGCATGTATTACTTTTTCATAATCTGCAAACAAAAATGGGGTACAAAATACAAAGAGCTCCCTCAAATCAAAAACAAAAAAGAAGACAAACAGCCCACTACAAACATGAGCAAAGACTCCCACTAGGCAGTTCATGAAATACAAAGAGCCAATAAACATCTAAGAAGATGGTCAATCTAACCAGCAATCAAGAAAATGCTAATTCAATACAGGTGGACAGATGGGTAGACAGGGTGAACTAGCAGGTATGTCTATGAAGCGGGGAGTGTACCCAAGAACATGTATAGGGTTGGCAGACAATGGTCCTATAAGTTTATTTGTATGATCTGAATTCCCAAGTGTATAGTAGAGCTGACAAGAGGCAAGGTTGTAGTCACAGTTTAGTCACAGCCAACTACCCAGAGGGACTGAGTAATTAGACCTGTGGGCTTGGGACCATAGTTGCAGGGGACATCAAGATCAGTTGACATGACATACTACACAAAACAATGTTCCACCTCCTACCCTGGCGAGTAGCGACTGGGATCTTAAAAGCTTGCAAGCAGCCATCTAGATGCAACAATGGGTCTCTCCTCGTCTAGAGCAAAGAAGGATGAAGAAAACAAAAAATTCATGGATACAATCAATTCTAGCAACTGGTACACCATCTGATCTGCAGCCTATATGACTATGAGACCAGAAGAACTAGATGGTGCCCGGCTACCAACGTCAACCACTTGGAAGGGGATCTATGTAGGAGATCCTGGATAGAGAGGAAGAACAATGTAGAACAAAACTCAAAATCATTTGGAGGAAAAAAAAAAAAATGGGGGGACTAGGTTTGCTTATGCACAGGGGACAGCTCAGTGGGCAGGAGTACATGGAGCGATGGACACAGGAAAGAGGTAATTATCAGAAGGAAGTGGGAGGGAAGCTGTTGCATCGTGATAAATTGTGTTCAATGTCATGAGACAAAGTGCATGTGAACTGCTGTATGGAAAGTGAATTTGCTCTAAATTTTCACCCAAATCACAATTAAAAAAATAAATATATAACCTATTTGATAAAGCAGTAAAGCTAATAAATGGACCAAAAAGAAAAAGAAAATGCTAATTCAAAAGAGATCATTTTGTTGGCAAGGCCTGGTCAAGGAGGCACTCCCATACAGTGCTCCTGAAAATGGAAACCACAGTATACATTCTGTAGGACAACTGGGCAATAGCTATCAAAACTTTAATGTGGCTTTTCCAGTTAGACAGGAAAGGCCTGGCAATCTACTTCTGAAAAACCAGTCATTGAAAACCCTATGGTGCACAGTTCTACTCTGATACACACAGGGTCACCATGAGTCAGAGTCGACTCAACAGCAAGTGGTACTGGTATAGTAACAAGCTAACTAATCAGTGTATTTTGCTCTTATGCACATTTGTTAACTGTAAATAGATCTTACAACACCTTTTATATATTTTCTTTAACACTGATTTATTAATATGGGGATGTTAAAAGGAGAAAAGTAAAAGGCAGAAGTGGAAAAGCCCCACATGGCACAAAAGAGATGGAGCTGAGCAAGCAAGCATCAGTTATGAATGTTTGACATGAACACTTGAACACAATGATACTGGCAAGAAACACAGCTGCCAATCCCTATGTGACGACCAAGGAAACTGGGAGAGCAGCAAAGCCCCAAGCCTTCTATCTGCCTTGCTGTGCTCCTACATATAACACAGGCACCTCACATGAGGATCAAGGGAGCACATACTGACCTATGCCATTTTGTTAGCAGGGTCTTAAGGTGGTGGCAGGACCAGTCAAGCGGCTGAGCAAATAAACTTGCAAATCCATTTACTCAGCAAGCATTCAGCAAGAGCCTACTATGGTCCAGGCACTTGGCTACTAAATATTCTATAATGCACACAAGACAGGCCCCCTACAAAAAAGAATTATCTAGCCCTAAATGTCAATGGTGCCAAGGCTGAGAAACCCTCATCTAGTGAGAAGTGATTAAGGCACCAGTGGTTTAGTGGTAGAATCTTGCCTTCCATTCAGGAGATTAAGGTTTGATGCCTGGCCAATACACCTCAGGTGTAGCCATCACCTGTCTGTCAGTGGAGGTTTGTGTTTTACTATGATACTGAAAAAGGTTTCAGCAGAGCTTCTAGACTAAGACTAGGAAAAAAGCCCTAGTAATCTATTTCCAAAATTCAGCCAATGAAAACTCTATGGATCACAACAGTCCAATCCCCAAGCGATCACGGAGATAGTGCAGGACCAGGCAACGTTTTGTCCTATTGTGCAGGGGGTTGCCATGAGTCAGAACTGACTCCACAGCAGCTAACAAGTGAGAAGTCAAGGAGTCCACAGCTAAAGCTGTGGGAATGAACAGGAAGCATATAGAACAGACCAGGTAAAACTCAAAGACCTGTGAGTGTCAGGATGAGGTCAAGGGTAGGTATGAGGTTTGTTGTTGGATGAACAGGCAAGTATCAGCGCCATTAAGGTGGTAAAGAACAGCAGGCTAAAGGAATGATGGAAACATCAATTCTGAATGTACTAAATTCAAAAAATCTGATGGGACAAAAACTCTCACTTGGCCTAGAGAAAATCCTTACCTCTATTTTTAGAGCTGCAATTTTTATAAATATCCAAGTTTCCATTAGTCTCTCCACCTCACCCTTAAACCCATTCTCACACTCAGCCTGTGATTCCTCTAGCTGTAAGTCTGAAGTGAGTACTATGGAATTTAGCAGGAAACAGCAAACTCACTGGAGAGAGTGGCCAGAGTTCTCTCAGCTGTTCCTCGGAGGGTCTCCCCAGGCTGCCACTCTGTCTGGGGCAGCATCCAAATATCCTCGCCTCCAAGCTTCTCTTTCACCAACAGAATAAGGTTCCTGTCTAGCTTCCGGTGTAGTGAAGTTCGGTCATTCTTCTCATCAGCTTCTAAGAAAAGAGGTTAGAGGAGGCAAGAAAACTGTGATCTGACAGAATCATAAGTTTTGTCATCTTCCTTTAAAACAAGTCACAACCCCTACCCTCAAAGAGCTTATAATCAAATTACAACCCTGGCCCATCTCCCTAACCCTGACCTCTTCCAAACGTTCACCTCACAATTTTGAGGAAAGGAAAAAGAGGAGAAAACCAAGAGCTGAACTTCTCTTTGAATAGCAACACATAAAAGTATTCTGAGCCTTTGGAAAAGCAGCAATGTCCATACTAATTCAAATACTACTACTTCATTAGTTTTGACACTACTACTGATTTACTTAATCCCCACTTTTTCTGTTATTCAGACTTCTATCTATGAAATACGGGTAAGTATTTCCTTTTCCTAGAATGTTTTTTCCCCTCACTGGTCTTTTGGGAAATTCTTATTCATCCTTCAGATCTCAATTTAAATATCACTAAACATCATTTAAATATCAAGATGTTCCTTGATAGCTACCTGAGGTGCAATGAATTAATAGGGCCCTTCAAGCCTCACGTGCTCCTGACCCCAGACAATGACTCAGTGGGAATACGCAAATAAATTGCTTGTGTCCCACAAAGGGATTGGACAGCTGCTATTAATGCAAATAAGGTACGTGGAACCCCATTTCATCTGAAGGGCCATTTTATCTAAACACTCTCAGATAAAACACAGGATATCTGGGGGGAAAGGCTTAAACTGCCCTCTCTCAATCCCAAATTAGGAGTTTAACTAGATAATATTCACAAAGTTTAACAGAGATAGAAAGGACTATCCCAACACTCTCACTTCCTACTCAAAACTAATGCAGGTCTTTAAAAAATTACATTACGATAGACATGAAGAATCCAAAAACCAAACTCACTGCCATCGAGTCAATTCCAACTCATAGTGACCCCCGCTGAGTTTCCGAGGTGGTGAATCTTTATGGAAGAAAATTGCCCTGTCTTCCGGCCATGGAGTGGCTAGTAGGTTTGAACTGCCAACCTTCTGATCAGCAGTCAAATGCCTTAGGCACTGTGTCACCAGAGCTCAATCGAGAAAATAATTTTCTCCCACCTAAAAGTTTTTTTTATTTGAATCTCTTGGTACTTAAAACACAAAGTAGGTAATAAGTTGTTGTCTTTATTTGGGAACCAGAACACCCCTCTTTCCCTTCCCTCTTGCTGGCCTAAAAAGGCCACAAACCTGTTACACGAGCTCCAAGTTTGAACTGTAGGAATGTCTGTTCCCACATATCTTCCAAATCCTGCACCAGCAGTATCTCCTGATCATCTTCTTCATAGAGGTCAGCTTTCTTCCTCGCCAGTCGCTGGGTTTCACCCAATGCACGAAACTCATGGTCTGAGTACAAGCTTCTCTCTACCTCAATCTAGGAAAAGTAAAAGGACAAAAAACAGAACAAATAAAACAGAGCTCTAGCACACTTGGCAGGCTTGTAAGTGTACCCTCCAGCATAACCAGACATACAATCAAAACACCACACAGAGAGAAAGACAAAAAGGTGACCTGCACTTTGGATTTGAATTACATTTGCCAAAATGTTAGAAATGCTTATAGGTGAAGACTGCTACAGAGAACAGAGGACTGGGGCAGATACTGCCTGTCCATTTACCATGCTCCAGCCACGTCAGTCTTTGATCAGAATATCAGTCACCAAGGACTTTCCTGCCTCACAGACTTTACAGATGCTGTTTCCTTTTCCTAGAATGTTTTTTCCCCTCACTGGTCTTTTGGGAAATTCTTATTCATCCTTCAGATCTCAATTTAAATATCACTAAACAGCATTTAAATATCAAGATGTTCCTTGATAGCTACCTGAGGTGCAATGAATTAATAGGGCCCTTCAAGCCTCACGTGCTCCTGACCCCGGACAATGACTCAGTGGGAATACGCAAATAAGTTGCTTGTGGCCCACAAAGGGGTTGGACAGCTGCTATTAATGCAAATAAGGTACATGGAACCCCGGTGGGAACAAACCAAACCAAAGTCACTGCAGTAGAGGTGGATCCGACTCACAGTGACCCTTCCTTGGGTTTCCGAGGCAGTATCACTACACAAGTAGATTGTCCAATCTTCCTTCCAAAGAGTGGCTAGTGGGTTGGAACCACCAACCTTCTGGTTAGCAGTAAAATGCCTTTGGCACTAAGCCACTTAGAAACACGCAAATAAGGTATATGGAACCCTAATACAAGGACTGGTCGGTTTTGCCATCCCACTACGCTTAAAAGCACCTAATCCCAGAAGCAGAAAGAAGAGCCAGGAGTGAAGCGTGTCCTTTGAATATGGGATCTCTGCACTGAAAACCTCCTAGACTCAGGAGACAGAGAGAGGATAAGACCAGAGAAGGCATGAGATGGCAAGCAGCAGCAGGTATAACAGAGAAATGGCAGCAACAGAACCAGATCAGCAAGAGATGGTGTAGTGGTCTTCCTAGCCTACACAGCAAGGTGGCTACAGTGGGAGTGCTGACCCACAGAGAGAAAGAACTGAGTGCCTTTGTGCCCCAGCTTACTGGCAGAGTGGGGTGCCTACAGTCACTTACCTGCAGAGCTAAAAGGGCTTTGTAACATTTGCCTGAGAAGGGCCACGGGCTGAAGGAGGAGGCTTGTCCTGAGGGAGCTGAAAGCAACCCTGTTTGGCTGAGAGGCTGTCATGCTTCCTGATCCTGATCCCAAATTGTAAACTATTACTTCCCTAATCAACTCCGTAACTAAGAGTATGGTTTGTGAGGTCTGTGTGGCTGTTGCAAATTATCTTACCCAGTAGAGAAGCAGAGAATGCCATGGGAGGGGGACAGCTGATGTCAGAATTGTTTTGAAAAAAAAAAAAAAAGAAAGAAAAGATTGGATAGAGATGCTACATTTGACCTTCATCTCACAGAAATCAGCTTTGGATTGATGTTGATCTTGATCATGATTCTCTCTCCCTCTCCTGAAGTCATTTTTACACTACAATGAAATCAAAGTAAGGATTTTCTATTAAACACTTTTACAGCACCTATACTTTCCAACACGTACCAGTGTCTATAAGTATGTGCTTATGTGATTATTTGGTTATTGACTGGCCCCCTCCATGAGACTGAACATCTTTGTGAACCAGAGATATGCCTGTATTATAACTCCATCCATAGCAGTGTCTGATACATGGCAGGTGACCAATGAATATCTAACAGTGAGTAAATGAATAAATTGAATAAAAACAAGGAAGAAACATTTATAGCCCTCAGCAGCCCAAGACAAAAGTATTTCAGACCGTGGAGAAATGTAACACTCTTCAGTCATCCTTGGGGACTTAAAGCCCTCACAGCCACTAAACCCAGGTTTTCCCCATGACTCTTCACTTGTTCCTCACACAAACAATCCTGTGAGGTAAAACAGGGGTGGCTTGATCACAAGCATTTTATGAGGTATCCACTGCCTCCTATACTTTCTTCTTCCTAACATTCAGCACATCATAAAGACTTTCTCCCCTCTAGATTTTAAGCACTCTATGATAGGAACTAAGTCAGTCTTGTTCACCATGACATTCCTAGCAGGTTAAATGAAGAAGAAGAGGAGCATCTCTCCAAGAAGTTGCCTAAAATGACAATACAAAAACCCAAAGAAAGGAAACTATCTCTTGTTTAATATCTATTATGTACACCCATTACTGACGTCGTCGTTGTTGTTAGGTGCCGTCAAGTCGTCTCCAACTCATAGCAATCCTATGCACAGCAGAACAAAACACCACCTGGTCCCACGCCATCTCCGCGATACCTGCTATACTTGAGCCCATCGCAGCAGCACTATGTCAATCCATCTCGTTGAGGGCCTTCCCCTTCTTCGTTGACCCTCCACCTTACCAAGCATGACATCCTTCTCCAGGGAATGGTCCCTTCTAACAAGATGACCAAAGTAGGTGAGATGAAGTCTGGTCATTCTCTCTTCTAAGAAGCATTCCGGCTGCACTTCCTCCAGGATAGATTTGTTAGTTCTTTTAGCAACCGTGGTACTTTCAGCATTCTTCTCCAGCACCACATCTCAAAAGCATCAATTCTTTTTCGGTCTTCTTTATTCACTGTCCAGCTCTCAGATGCATGAGGCAACTGAAAATACCATGGCTTGTGTCAGGCGTACCTTAGTCCTCAAGGAGACATCTTTGCTCCTCAGCACTTGAAAGAGGTCCTTTGCAGCCGGATTGCCCAGTGCTTTACGTCCTCTGATATCTTGCCTCCATTGGCCTCCATTGTAGAACCAAACAATGTGAAGTCTCTGGCAACTTTAATCTTTTCTCCATTCATCGTGACGCTGTTTACAGGTCCAGTTGTGAGAATTTTTTTGAAAAAATACAAAACTGAAGCACTTACTGATGAAGACTGGAGACTACAGTCTGCAGTATGGATTACATCCCAATATAAAGAAAACAAAAATTCTCACAACTGGACGTTACACGTAAGTATACTTAAGTCCAAAGAGCCCTGATGGTGCAAAAAATTTGAGTGGTTGGAACCACCAGCCGCTCTGTGGGAGAAAAGGCATGGCGATCTGCTCCCATAAAAATTAAAGCCTAGGAAACCCTACGGGTGACGCTCTGAAGAGCTATGAGTCGAAATCGACTCGATGGCATACAACAGAAATGAAGTGACTTCCCAAAAGTCACATAGATTAATTGGTGCCGGAGTCAGGATCGAACACAAGTCTGACTCTATTGCTTCCTCCGTCATCCTAAAGTCGTAGTCTGCACCTCAGTCCTACCTGCTCTAGTAGAGCCGCCATATCTTCCTGCAACGGGGTCAGCGGCTTCGAGATTAGCGGTGGCCGCTGCAGGCACAATGCGCCCAACAGGCGCCATGGGGACCCTGTGTTCGAGGGTGCGGCCTCGAGGCTGAGGCTGCGAACACTCAGGATCTCAGTCGAGAGCCCCTCTAATCGCCACCAGCCCCGTGCCACCCCTAACAGTGTGCGCGATACGGGCGCCGCCATGTTCCTACTCTCCCCACAATGCACCGCGGCACCCAGCAGGTTCCTCAGCCAACCCCATGTTCCCACAAGGCGGCGGGGTGCAGGAGCGCGCTCAGGGCGTTATTAGAGTAGACCATTCAAAAGTAGAGGGGGTGGTCGAAGAGCTTGTCATGTTGTCACATTATGAAAAAGAAAAAGTTTCCAGCTAAAACCAAAACAGTAGTTTTTTTAAGCATTTAAATTGAGTAAATCCCTTTAACAGACGTTATAAAGAAGAATTATATGACTTTCCTTTCTGTGCCTTCCCCACAGGCACTCGTAGTACCGGCGCCGCGCCTGCTACGCCAGGCTCCGCAGAACGCGGACGGGAGTCGGCCGGGGTCAAATCAAGCCATGCAAGTTGTGAGGAACGCAGGGTCTCGATTCTTGCGGTCATGGATTTGGCCACCGACGACTGGGTGAGAATGACTGCCCCTCTGAGACTGCACCGAGGACCTCCGAGGCTATTCTCTTGCTTGTGTTCCATGAGCCACCTGGGCACCAGTGGCCGTTAAGCCTGGACCTCACGAAACTTTCCTCCCCAACAGGGTCGTAGCCGAGGCGCCGGCCCGGACCGTCCACACAGGCACTCAGCAGCTGCAAGAAGCGGCGGCGAAAAAGGAAGTTGAGGAGAAGGCGGCGGCTCCGAGCCGCAGCATCTTCAGGTGAGGGCCACTTAGGTTCGGTCCTCGCGAGACTAGCACCCCGTGATTCTCTCCTGTCACTCTCCAGAGTCAGAGAACCAGTGAATGCCCAATTCTGCCACTTGTCATTTGCGCGACGTCGTGTAATAAGCGTCAACTTTCTCGCTTAAAAATGGGGATGATGCCGAAGGAATTTGTGAGAATCAAATGAAATTAGCCCTAGCACAAAGTAGATGCTCAGTGAACACTCGTTAATGAATGTGTGGATGTTGGATGAGTATAATGAGTATCAGTTTTCTCTCTTGCAGAAAACAAAACATAACAAAAAAACAACCACTGCCATGGAGTCAGTTTGACGCATAGCAACCCGCGTTGGGTTTCCGAGGCAATAAATCTTTATGGAAGTAGATTGCCCAGTATTGCTTTGGTGGAGTGGCTGGTGGGTTTGAACCACTAGCCTTCTGGTTAGAAGGCAGATAGATGCCTTAGGCACTGTGCTACTGCAGCTCTTTCTCACCTTCTCCTGCAAAGGTGGAGATAATGTCAAACCAAAACTGGGGGGGTGGAGGGAGCATATGTGCAAGGGGTGGTCCCTAGACTATGGAACAGATTTTTTGCGGACTTGTGGACTTGTTAGAGGTAGTACAGATCTAAGGTGGTGTTTGTGCTCAGCCTTAGGGACTGGCAGCTTACTTACCACAACTACAGCCACCTCTATGTGCTAGCTGTACTTCGCATCTACTTAACATTTCCTGAAAACGTACTGTGTATTAGGCATCATGCCACCCCACAAATAGTTCACAGTCTAACAAGGAAGACAACCATGCAAATAAGTGTAACATGATGTAATC